ATTACAGTTGTGTTGACTAGGAAAGCTGGCCACAACTGTGTTGATTACAGTTGTGTTTGACTAGGAAAGCTGGCCAGAACTGATTACAGTTGTGTTGACCAGGAAAGCTGGCCAGAACTGATTACAGTTGTGTTGACTAGGAAAGCTGGCCAGAACTGATTACAGTTGTGTTGACTAGGAAAGCTGGCCAGAACTGATTACAGTTGTGTTGACTAGGAAAGCTGGCCAGAACTGATTACAGTTGTGTTGACTAGGAAAGCTGGCCAGAACTGATTACAGTTGTGTTGACTAGGAAAGCTGGCCAGAACTGATTACAGTTGTGTTGACTAGGAAAGCTGGCCAGAACTGATTACAGTTGTGTTGACTAGGAAAGCTGGCCAGAACTGATTACAGTTGTGTTGACTAGGAAAGCTGGCCAGAACTGATTACAGTTGTGTTGACTAGGAAAGCTGGCCAGAACTGATTACAGTTGTGTTGACTAGGAAAGCTGGCCAGAACTGATTACAGTTGTGTTGACTAGGAAAGCTGGCCAGAACTGATTACAGTTGTGTTGACTAGGAAAGCTGGCCAGAACTGATTACAGTTGTGTTGACTAGGAAAGCTGGCCAGAACTGATTACAGTTGTGTTGACTAGGAAAGCTGGCCAGAACTGATTACAGTTGTGTTGACTAGGAAAGCTGGCCAGAACTGATTACAGTTGTGTTGACTAGGAAAGCTGGCCAGAACTGATTACAGTTGTGTTGACTAGGAAAGCTGGCCAGAACTGATTACAGTTGTGTTGACTAGGAAAGCTGGCCAGAACTGATTACAGTTGTGTTGACTATGAAAGCTGGCCAGAACTGATTACAGTTGTGTTGATCATGAAAGCTGGCCACAACTGATTACAGTTGTGTTGAGTGTTGATCAGGAAAGCTGGCCAGAACTGATTACAGTTGTGTTGACTAGGAAAGCTGGCCAGAACTGATTACAGTTGTGTTGACTAGGAAAGCTGGCCAGAACTGATTACAGTTGTGTTGACTAGGAAAGCTGGCCAGAACTGATTACAGTTGTGTTGACTAGGAACTGATTACAGTTGTGTTGACTAGGAAAGCTGGCCAGAACTGATTACAGTTGTGTTGACTAGGAAAGCTGGCCAGAACTGATTACAGTTGTGTTGACTAGGAAAGCTGGCCAGAACTGATTTCAGTTGTGTTGACTAGGAAAGCTGGCCAGAACTGATTACAGTTGTGTTGACTAGGAAAGCTGGCCAGAACTGATTACAGTTGTGTTGACTAGGAAAGCTGGCCAGAACTGATTACAGTTGTGTTGACTCATGAAAGCTGGCCAGAACTGATTACAGTTGTGTGTTGATCATGAAAGCTGGCCAGAACTGCTTGTGTTGATCCTGGCCAGAACTGATTACAGTTGTGTTGATCAGGAAAGCTGGCCAGAACTGATTACAGTTGTGTTGACTAGGAAAGCTGGCCAGAACTGATTACAGTTGTGTTGACTAGGAAAGCTGGCCAGAACTGATTACAGTTGTGTTGATCATGAAAGCTGGCCAGAACTGATTACAGTTGTGTTGACTATGAAAGCTGGCCAGAACTGATTACAGTTGTGTTGACTATGAAAGCTGGCCAGAACTGATTACAGTTGTGTTGATCATGAAAGCTGGCCAGAACTGATTACAGTTGTGTTGATCATGAAAGCTGGCCAGAACTGATTACAGTTGTGTTGATCAGGAAAGCTGGCCAGAACTGATTACAGTTGTGTTGACTAGGAAAGCTGGCCAGAACTGATTACAGTTGTGTTGACTAGGAAAGCTGGCCAGAACTGATTACAGTTGTGTTGACTAGGAAAGCTGGCCAGAACTGATTACAGTTGTGTTGACTAGAACTGATTACAGTTGTGTTGACTAGGAAAGCTGGCCAGAACTGATTACAGTTGTGTTGACTAGGAAAGCTGGCCAGAACTGATTACAGTTGTGTTGACTAGGAAAGCTGGCCAGAACTGATTACAGCTGTGTTGATCAGGAAAGCTGGCCAGAACTGATTACAGTTGTGTTGACTAGGAAAGCTGGCCAGAACTGATTACAGTTGTGTTGACTAGGAAAGCTGGCCAGAACTGATTACAGCTGTGTTGATCATGAAAGCTGGCCAGAACTGATTACAGCTGTGTTGACTAGGAAAGCTGGCCAGAACTGATTACAGTTGTGTTGATCAGGAAAGCTGGCCAGAACTGATTACAGTTGTGTTGACTAGGAAAGCTGGCCAGAACTGATTACAGTTGTGTTGACTAGGAAAGCTGGCCAGAACTGATTACAGTTGTGTTGACTAGGAAAGCTGGCCACAACTGATTACAGTTGTGTTGACTAGGAAAGCTGGCCAGAACTGATTACAGCTGTGTTGACTAGGAAAGCTGGCCACAACTGATTACAGCTGTGTTGACTAGGAAAGCTGGCCACAACTGATTACAGTTGTGTTGACTAGGAAAGCTGGCCACAACTGATTACAGTTGTGTTGATCATGAAAGCTGGCCAGAACTGATTACAGTTGTGTTGACTAGGAAAGCTGGCCACAACTGATTACAGTTGTGTTGACTAGGAAAGCTGGCCAGAACTGATTACGGTTGTGTTGACTAGGAAAGCTGGCCAGAACTGATTACAGTTGTGTTGACTAGGAAAGCTGGCCACAACTGATTACAGTTGTGTTGACTAGGAAAGCTGGCCAGAACTGACCACAAATGTGTTGATCAGGACAGGTGCACAGAACTGGCCATGGTTGTTTTATTCATCTGTCCTTCTGCTCTTCAAGTCTACAACTTTCTTGACCACCATTGTTTTCCTTTTCAACACATGAGAATTATTATATTATCCCCATATACTAACTATCAAAAATTCTTGATTTCAATGTTTGGTGAATTAGAATTCACTATATCTTATTCTGGGAAACTATTTAAATTGTCTACAACTGGAACAGCTAAAATCTGTTTCCTCATATCCATCCTAGAGTGTTGTTGTTTAGCTCCTTATTGTGTCTTCTTATCCTGGTTTCATTTCAGAGCTCTCACACCCCTTGTTGGGACTGGGGCCCGGGGCCCTTAGAATTGGGGAAAATAGCTGCTTTTTCCTTAGAATTGGATATTGAATCCTTCTTATCAAAAACTGTCATTCTGTTTGCCTCTTTAACATATTCTGCTGTAAGGACCAACTTTCATCAAGAAAGTTATTTTTCGGATTTCCACTTTCTGAATTTAAAGTTTTGCATTTGTCTGAATTTAATTTTAAGTATCTTTTCTTTTTACCAATCACACAAATCCGGTGGATCTTTTGGATCATATTGTTGTCAATCACTGTATTGCTACTTCTTCCAAAGATTTACTATCACAAGCAAAATTTTTGTTTGATGTAGCAATATTTTTTGAGTATCATCCAATGAAAAAATACTGGACCAAAGCAACCCTTTGAGGGCACCGCTTTTAAAACTTGATAAAGGCTAAGACTGACCTATTTAAAGTTGTCAGGATGCACAGTGGTAACACATCTGACTTTCATCTAAGCATCTGGGGTTCAAACATGAACAGGTATGGGGTCACCTGTCTGACAATGTGGATTTTACCCCACTAGTCCGGTTTCATCTGAAAGTAGGATCCCTCAATCTCTTCCATCCAGACCAATAAGAGTGACAAATATAAGCTTAGAGCTTGTTTTACAATATGTTGTAAAATAAATCATATTTATATCTATTCTATTTTTTCTATCAGTTTGAAATGCTGAAATCAATGCTTTCCACCTTTTTGAGAAGCCTCATGCAAGAATTCTGTCAAATGCTTTTCAAGCAAGAAAACTAGGTAGGTAGAGAATATTCATGACATTTCCTTTATTTGTTATCTAGAACTTCTGATTGTTGATTGGCGGGTGGTTATGTTTCCTTTTAGGGCTCCAAACGTAATATTCTTAACTACTACACTAGTTCAGCTGACTGAGTTTTTCATGTCCTTTTTCAGTCAAATTACTCTCTTTTCAGGATTTCCTTTTTCATATTAACTACAGGAAGTACATAACACATACAAAGAAAAAAAAGTGAAAATATTAAACATACTGTCAGTAATAGAGTTGTGACACACAAGTAGAATTCACAGTAATGCTTTGTGCCAATGGCAAATTGCAACATGACAAACATAACAAGAAATAGTCTCTTTCACATAAAGACACTTCATCAAATGTGTATACATGAGTCTTGCTGAATCAGACTTTGCAATAAGTATGTAACTTGGCAAAACTTCAGAGATTGTCTGAAAAGATAAATTTTGAAACAAAACACCATTAACTAGTTTGGATCACAGTTTGGAGCCCCTTAAACTTTAGATTATACATCAATATTATCGCAAAATATTTTGTTACATTTTTTAACTGCAACAAAATTCATCAGTGAAAACACTAAGCTCCCTCTGAATGGCTTTTCCATAATTAAAATTAAAATTCATAATTCATTTAGTCTCTCGTAACTGTATAAAAACAAGAGTGTGCAACTCTATATTAATTTCAATATCAATGTCGAAAATATATATTTGTTTTACCATTGCTAAACTCAAATAAACTATCTGAATTAAATTGTAACGTTAATACAGGGCTGTGTGTTTAGGGTGTTTGCCTTCTGAATATCATTAAGCTTACGTTTAATAATGAATATTGAATATCATTGAAGCGCAACACTTCAGAAAAGAAAACGATTTCGTTCATTCAAAATAGCAACATGCAAATTGACAACAACCTGATATAAAGCCGAATTATATTATTATCATAATGATCATAATTTACCGCTCGACATTTGATTTCTTGGAATAAAAACTTACGACGAAACTTATGTTGTGGCGCTGGGTATACTTTGGAAAGGCCCTCTTCTCACGCAGAATGGATAAAGTCCGGTGATAACCGAAAGACCGTACATCTCGTGCTAAACGAGAACCAAACGAGAAACGGAAATCGTATTTGCTTCGTATGATTGTGGTGTGAGAAAAACGTTGTTTGCAGGTCCCCCACTCAAAGATCCAAGATGCCGAGAATAATGATCAAAGGTGGTGTGTGGCGGAACACCGAGGTAAGTATAGCATACATAGAATAAATCAAATAATGACATCGGTGTTTGAACAGATACATACTCATCTCGTGTGGAAATTATGTTGAGCAGGGTAAGTGAGAATGGTAAAAGTTGTGTGTGGATATAAACAAACGCAAAATGTACTCCGAAATAGTAGTTTTTAGTAATTACTACAGATCCACGGATGTTTTGTTATAGATAAGTCACTGTTTTTCCTGATTTTATGGTTGATTCAATTGCCAGGGTCATTGTCTTGTCATTTTTTCAGCCTGACTTATCAGGTACAAGAGCACCGGGAAATCTTGCCATATAGTCTGGATTTGGCTATCGTCTTGCGTCGATTTACCCCATACAAAACATACTTAATCATATCATATTTAATACAGTTAAATATAGATGTACAAAAAGTGATTCTTCAATGTTAGATATAAATATTCACAGCTTCCCATGTCGATATTTATGAATACGTGACCATCATACTCTATCAGGCTTTCTTACAATTTATAGCCAGATTTTGTCGGTGCTCCAGTACCTTGTCATTGCTTTTTCAAATCCATTTCTTTGCTTGTTGAATTTTCATTTGTTAGACTAACATTTTTGAGACAATCTTCATTCAATTGAAAATTCAACAATAGCCTTATCCTTGTGTACTTGTCTGAAACATAAGGAATGTATAGGCCCAGGACTGAATTTACATAAACTTGTTTTGATTGCCAAGTATCCATAGTGCGGATGCGAATCTGTCAGTACAGTAGCTGATGGGCCATAACAGAGTGTTTCATGTGAAGTTCCCTGTTTATGTCATTTGTGCTCTTAGGAAGCTGAGAAAGGAACCATGGATACATGCTTGTGTCCTTGGATAGAGCCCCTTATAATTACCCCTATTGTTCTGGATGGCATACTACAGGCCTACCATATGTTGTTCAATTTAGGTAGTCCCCAGGTTCTAAAAGGAAATTTCATCTCAGAATGCAGTGGTTTTTTTCATGTCACTTAATTTCAAACTTATGGCTGTAATATCTTCATACATGTTTGTTTTGTTTGCAGGATGAAATTTTGAAGGCTGCTGTTATGAAATATGGGAAAAACCAGTGGGCAAGAATCGCATCACTGCTGCACAGAAAGTCTGCCAAACAGTGTAAAGCCAGATGGTAAGGGAATACATTACATTGCTTCTTACTGCACATCATCTTTTTTATTTTGTTGCTTAGATATATATCTGTAACAGTAGAAACCAAATATGGATTCAAAGTGAGACGTTATTTTTTTAGAGATAACTTTGGATAAATGCTCTAACCAATCATACAGCTGGAGAAGGAGCTGTCAAACAAGCACAGTTTTATAACTCTGCAGGAATTTCTGATTTCTTCTGATGTTCTTGTTAAAGTCTAACTGTGAAATTTGGCATCAATTTGCAGTACTTGTTGATAGTGATTGACTATTTTACAGATCAGAACGAGTCTCAAGCATTATCACTTTCATTTTCGATCTTCAGATCTATTAACAAAAATTACTATATAGTCAGAATCATAAACATCTTTATGTACTTCAACAAAAAGTATTACACTTAAATTCTGTTTATTTAGGTGCTGTACATAATTTATTCTTCATTGATAATCTGACTTCAATAAGAGTGATAGGCCTTTTACATATCAATGATACCATTTGTCTGGATACCCTCTGATGCCTGTAGTTGTTACTAAAAGTATGGTTAATTATTAGTTTGTAATGTATTGAAAGCAATATCTGTGTGCTTTTAGGTTTGAATGGTTGGACCCTAGTATCAAGAAGACAGAATGGAGCAGAGAAGAGGAGGAAAAATTGCTACATTTGGCCAAGCTGATGCCAACACAATGGAGAACAATTGCCCCTATCATTGGACGTACTGCTGCCCAGTGTCTGGAGCATTATGAATACTTACTGTATGTTGTATTTTTTCTCCGAAGATAAGATGGTTTTCTTTTATATACTTAGCTAAAACAGTAATTCTGTAAAAGATATTATGATTAGTTGACTAATGACTTAAAATAATAATGTGTAGCAAAAGGTGTACACAGGTTGTATTGTGTTATTAGCACAGTTGAAAATTACCAGAACAACACATTAATTCAAGCAAAATACCATAATTACACTAGTAGTTGTATTTTATGCTCTTTCATAAACCCCAAAAATAGATTTTAAAATGAGTTCTGACAAATAATTGATTAAACCTGTTATTTTGTACAAGTACTATTATATGGTTTGCATAGCTTTATATTTATTATGTTAATGTAATTATGCATGATGTTATGTAAACAAAAAATGCAGTGGACCGCAGGTCAGATAGAAACATAAAAAAAAATCACATCTATATCAGTGTTATTCTGTTTTGTGATTTAGAGATAAAGCACAAAATCGCGATGAATCTGAGGATGATCCAAGGAAACTTCGACCAGGAGAGATTGATCCAAATCCAGAAACAAAACCAGCCAAGCCAGATCCTGTGGACATGGATGAAGATGGTAATCATGTAAAATTTTATCTTATAGAAGATGTTTTATGTATTTCTGTAAAGATAACATTAAGCTTTTCATGGCATCATTTTAGGAGTAAACTCAGTTTCAAAAGCCAGGAGAGCTATTTTTTTCATAAGATCTGATATAAGATAAGCCTAGTACAGGGCTCTCGATCTGCCAGATTTGGGGCCGAATATTCCGAATGCAAAATAGTATCTTTTTTCCCAATTTAGACCCGAAGTTTTCCCAATTCTAAGGAAAACACCATTATTTTTCCCGATTCTAAGGGCCCCAGGCCCAAAATGGGGTGTGAGAGCCCTGTAGTAATTACTTTGTCAGTGAATGGTGTGTATGAACATGAAGAAATCCCTCGTCTGTGTTTGATGTTATTGTAAAATCAGAATCCAGATTCTAGTTGATTGCTAAAATTCAATAAAATTGTTTATATATATATATACTTTTTCCCATTTAGAGTTGGAGATGTTATCTGAAGCCCGTGCTAGGCTAGCAAACACACAGGGTAAAAAAGCCAAACGTAAAGCAAGAGAAAAACAGCTGGAAGAGGCAAGGTAATGCATATTTCACTTGTAGTACTGCAAAGAAGGAAAACAAAATGAAATATTTCTGTATGATGGCCATTAATTAATCTTAAGTAAACGATCCCAGTTGGTTTTCATAATATTGAGTTACTGTGTAAGTGATTAACAATATATTACTTTTCAGTTTACTCCATATTTAGAACTTTTTAAAACTGTTAAACGTTAACTCTTGACATCATATGTTCCTGTCAATGGCTTGGTTAATATTTGTTCACTTTTGCAGGAGATTGGCAGCTTTACAGAAGAGACGTGAGCTGAGGGCAGCGGGTATTGAGTAAGTAAGGGAGATAACTCATCCTTATCTCTAGACTTTCTATGGGGTTCAGACTGTAATATACAGTAAAATGTGATGGATTTTACTGAAAACTCAATAATGTACAAACCTTATGAATAATCTTCTAGTCCTATTGGAGACACAAAAACATGGAGAACATTTTTAATGCATTAGGTATTACTGATTTGCATTCTTATTTTTTCACTTAGAGAAATGTTTCGTTGTGCTAACAGATACGTTACAAGCATTGCTTGTCCTGTGTTTTTACATGGTGTCAATCACTATCACTAAAGTTCAGAAATAAAGACAGAAGTCAAATATTTCTGATGAATGTTTAACAAGGCACTGTATATCATGAACAGCATCAAGAAACAGAGGAAGAAGAAGAGAGGAGTTGACTACAATGCTGAAATTCCATTTGAAAAGAAACCTGCTCCAGGTAAATATAGATTTATATTCAATGGTTTAAATTTTAAAGAGTCTTTCCCATTATTAGCAGAAATTGAGAAAAAAAAATATGCAACATGATATGTATTTAAAGTTTTAAAATGCCATCTAATTATTCTAAAATCTAAGATTTTGAAGATTATTCTTATGTAGTATAGAAACATTCTTTGTATACACAGACTTAACTTGTAGATCTTTGCCATGACCTTGAGTTCAAGGTCACAAAAATAGATCAAAAGTCAGATCAAAGAAATGCATCACTAGAATATACTTGTGTATCAAACCATCAAATTTTCTCTGATGAAATTGAAGTAAATGTTTTTATCATGCCAAGATTGTGTTGTTATGTTAAATGGAAATTTCTTGACTGTAATGACTTAATACATTTGTGTACAGGTTTCTACGATACTTCTGAGGAAGTATATGTGGCAGAAGAACCCAATTTCAAGCGTCTCAGACAACAAAATCTTGATGGAGACCGCAGATCAGACAAGGAAGAGGTAACTTTCATCAGTGTAGTTTGTTGATCAATATATTGTGACATGTTGTAAGAACTCAGAATTTTAGCTATAATGTTCCACCTCTTGGGGTTAAAAATTTCAATGATTTCACAATATTTTTTAATACATCACTATAAACATACATAGCTTTGACAATACTTTACCAGTTAATCACTGCTGTTGACTTTCCTAGTTCAACCATTTGGCAGTTTATGTGACATTTCACTGTCTATACACTGTCATTGATTATAGAAAGAACAGACTCTATCTACATAATATTTTTTAATTGCCTTCGCTAGAATTTGATCATGAATTACTGAATTGATTTTTTGTAACATTGTTATCTGTAAAAAAAATCATATAAATAACTTGTCTGTTATTTATTACCAGAAAGAGCGAAGGAAGGACAAACAAAAACAGAAGAAGAGAAAAGAGAACGACCTACCAGGAGCTATTGCCAGCCAAAGCAAGTAAGTAGCCATTATCATAGATTTATTTCATAAATACGTAAATCTATTCAAGGAAAAAACAAGAATAAGTTTTTTCATACTGAAAATTCAATCTGGTTATCAATATCCTTTATTTGGAGTTATACAATCATTTAAGGAAATGTTTAGTTTGAATTGAAATGTATTTCTTAATGTTATGTTTGATATTTAGCCCACCATCATCAGTAACTGACTGCTATCTAATAATACTATCAAATGATATTTGCTAAAAGTTGCTTAATAAAAATATCTTCATTACCATCAATACCATCATTGAGTACATTCAATGAAGACCAGTTCATGAACATTTACAAAACCTGTAACACAAAAAAAAATAAACAAATCTTCAAGAACTGAAAACAGATCCTCAAATGGTGGGCGCCAAGATCCCTCTGGGATTTCTTGTTTAATTCTGATAACATGATTAGAATTTAAGGATTTGTTGACTTAAAGACTGAAGTGTTTATAATTCTTGAAACATTCCACACATTGATAACATTGAACCTATAAACTTCAAAAATTCTTTAAATATTTCCATCCGTTAAAGAATACTGGAATGTTACCATATGTTGTTGAATTAGCTTTCAGGAACCAGTAAAGAAAAGGAGCAAGTTGGTGTTGCCTTCCCCTCAGATATCTGATGCTGAACTTGAGGAGGTAAACATGATAATATATCTGTAGTCAGCATTGGCCATCTTCATAACAATTACATATCTTTAGCAGGTTATTCAAGATGGGGTATTCATAGTGTGGTTCACTTCCATCAAAGACGATTATACTTTCAGATTATCGTGTTGATTAAATGTGTTATTGCTTAGTGAGACTTTGTAGTGTGTTATAAATTATTGAATTCAGAGACAAACTTGTTGATATTATTATCTTGTTTCCCAGGTTGTGAAGGTCGGTCAGGCCAGTGAGTATGCACGTCAACAGGCTGAGGAGAGCGGAACCCAGGATGGGGCAAGTCAGGCCCTCCTCCAGGACTACAGTCTCAACCCTACAGCTACCAACCTGCGCACCCCAAGGACTCCAGCACTGCAGGACAACATCATCCAGGTATGTAGAATTTAGTTCCACCCAATTGGTTTTGTAGTGAGTTGTATTAGTTTGGTTGGTTGAGCATCAAACTTTGCAACATCTAAATAAGTTATGTCACAATCTCGAATGAGAACAAGGTATGCAACAACAGAACCAACAGGCAAACTAAAAACCCAACAATTGTTGGTTTTTATCTTTATAACACTGTAATGCCGTACAGAAACAGAAATATAGGATTTCCATTTGTTTTGTTTGTAGGGTATCAACTCACCAAGAATATGTTTGTTGAGTTCATTTGACTGGTGTTTAAATGATTTGTTTTTTGTTTTTTCACAATGGACATCAATGGAAAATTTTTTTATCAAGATATATATATATAAAGATTATGTATTACTATGAGAACCATGAGTGGAGAGATGTGTTTTGTCACAATCCATTTATAATTTCTTTGTCATAAGTTACAGAATTAAGACTTTTATTTACAGGAAGCGCAGAACATAATGGCGTTGACTGTAGTTGACACACCCCTAAAGGGTGGACTAAACACACCTCTGACCGAGTCTGATTTTAGTAGTGTTACTCCCAAACACAATCTACCACAGACTCCAAACACAATGATCGCCACACCAATGAGGACTCCAGGCCCAGGGGAGGGACCAGGTATGTTTATTCATAGACTTTGATTGTGCTTGGTGAACTGTTATGTTTAAACATGGGTTAAAAGTAAGCTCACCAACCTAGTATTTTTCAGCATTGGTTAAATGTAAGCACACTAACTAAGTATGTTTAAACATAGGTTAAAAGTGAGCTCACCAACCAATAATGGGTAAGACTAAGTAAAGACTAAGCTTGTTGACCAAATGTTTATACATCAGTTGAAAGTTAGATCAGTGGCCATGTTTGATTAAACATTAGCTTAAAGTGAGCTCGCTGACATGGTATGTTTATACATAGACTTAAAATTAGTTCACTGATGAGATTTGTATCTACAATGGCTTAAAGTGTACACTTAAGAAAGTTCAGGTGATAAAATGATAGTAAGTGAAAAGAGAATATTTGATTGATGTATAGGACTTAATGTATAAGGAAGATTGGGGAATTATATAGCATATTATATAGAAAATTATTTGTGTTTACTATAGGAATGACCCCTCAGATGGTTGGGGGGATGACACCTAGGGGAATGCCCGGACAACAGACACCTTTGAGGACACCAGTTAGAGACAAACTAAACATCAACCAGCCCGAGGAGAACTTTGATATGGCAGTCAGTGACCAGTTCTATCAGGTGAGGACTACCCAGCTATAATGCTGCTGTCATTTAAACACTTTAGGATTGTTGTAACATTTGAGATGTATTTTTTCACCTGTATACTGTTAACAACCATCTGTTGATTCTTATTCTTCATTAAGAGATTTTCTATCAAACAGATTTTGGAAAAACACTAGGAAAATATTTCATTATTAAAAATGTCGATGTTCTGGTGAAATTGGAAAAAAAAATTGGAAAAAGAAATTGTGATTCTTTAACTGCTAGAGAAGAAAAGGAACAGAAATCTGAAAAATGTATTTGCTGATTAATTATGTAAAGACTGGTGTGATTTTTCTGGACAAATTGAACATTTTGGTTTGCCTTTGAGTGATTATGCTTTATTGTTTGTTGAAGTCAAACTTCCTTATGTTTACAGCAAGACCTAAAGAAACAGCTGAAGCAAGGTCTTGCCAGTCTTCCGCGTCCAAAGAATGATTACGAGATTGTAGTCCCTGAGGACATGGAGCAGACGGGCGACGAGCAGATGGAGACTGACACATATGTAGAAGACCAGGCTGATGTGGACCAGCGCTACGAGGAGATCCAACATGCCAAACGTAATTTTTTCACTAAACAAACTGCTTCATGCCCTCTGTGTGCTGACACAATCCAGTACTTCAATCTTTACCAATCACTCCTCGTTGTATTTAGGTGAAGCCATATGTAAAGGATATTACCTAAGTTTCCATTTGAAATGACATGTATGAACAAGTCAGGAGAGGAAAAATGAAAAAAAAAATTGGAAACCAATGTAAGATTCTGTTTATCACATAACTTCAGACCTTTCAGTCATGAAAAAAAGGACTGTTACAAAATCTCAACTGGTGACATTCTCATTCTATATGTCTTTCTTTGGTTGTGAGTTACATGATTAAGACATCAAAATGGAAACAATGAGCCTTCAGCCAATCACAGCTACCTGAAACTAAGGTCAGGGTCTTAGTAATGATTATTAGTACACCCTCATCACTCAGCAAGCTTTATTTCTACCACACTTGAATCAGACTGTATGATTTTTTTAGGAGTTTTGTAGCCAAAATCATGGTCACTTATGAATATGAAATAATGAGGTTGTACATAACCATTAAACTTGGTGTGTCAGAATACCAGAAATTTAAACATGAGGAGAGAAAGTAAATCTGGTAGAATTTCTCAGAAATCTTAATCCATTTCCCAGCTTTCTGTACATTGCTTCACAATTTTTTTTTAATTTCAGTTCAAATGTCAAAAAATTTCATTCATTGTGAATAAATCTATTTCTACGAGTGCTTGACACATCAGGATTTGATATATCAGACACTGAAAAGAAACAGTAAATTGTCCTGCCACAAAACATTCGAATGATTTGATTTTTTTTTATTCCAACAACATATTTTCAATATTTAGAGTTAATAAGTGATGAAAGGTTTTAACACTTTCTTTGATGATAGGTATGAAGGAATTACGACTCCGTTCCCAAGCGGTGCAATTGGATCTTCCTCGGCCAGCAGATATCAACAAAAACATCCTACGTGTGGTAGGACCAGGTGACCCACCTCTGCTGGAACTACAGAAGGTAAACTCCTGTTGTCAGACAATTTTATTACACCTGTAATCAGGTTGATAATTTCAGATTTGGAAAACTCTTTAGAAAAATGATCAAAATTTCTGGTCTGCTAGCACAGAATACATATTGATTAGATTCAATATTCAAAACTTCCAAAAAATTATTTTTCTTTTTCAAGCTGTATATCTGGAAAATGTAAGCTAACATTTATAACAATAATTACATTTTGTTTCATAGCAAAACAACTGTTGTAAATATGTTTTATTTGTGATTGAAACCAGTAGATAAGTAATGAGGGGATTGAGAGAGAAACTAATTTGACAGTAACTATATATCACTGTTGATAGGCAGAAGAGCTGATCAAAAAAGAGATGCTGACGATGCTACATTATGATGCTGTGTACAGCCCCACACCAGGGCAGCTGGGAGTCAACCCCAACAGTAAAAAGCCAAGCCAGAAGGGTGTGGTGAATCAGGCCCAACATCTAGCTTATCTAGAGCAGCATCCTTATTCCAGCTACACTGAGGATGACATTGATATGGTAGGTTTTCTGTATGTTGTCATATTGGACACATACTTAGAACCATGAACTGTTTATAGTTACTTGTGATCTGATGCTGTTTAGGTTACAGCCTGTACTGAAAGCTTACCTGTTCTCATTGAGTATTGTCAAGGGAAGTCATGTGATCCAGTGGCGACATACTCACCTTTCACCTCTACGTTCAGGGATCACCTGTACGATCATGTGGGTTTTCACCGGGTAGTCTGGTTTCCTCCCACTATAAGACCCCTCACACACTTCCATTCAGACCAACAAGAGTGATTGGTGTAGGTTTCAAAAACTTGTTTTACAATTGTTGTAAAGAAATAAAGTTTGTTATATTACTGCCATGGCTGTTATTGTCCAATAGTTCAAATTTTTGCTGTTTTCATGCTATCCAGGCCAAGCAGCTGCTGAAAAGAGAGATGGAGGTGGTAAAGACAGGCATGAACCACGGAGACTTGTCTATAGAATCCTACTCGCAGGTGTGGGAGGAGTGTTACTCCCAGGTACTCTATCTCCCCTCACAAAACCGCTACACACGTGCCAACCTCGCAAACAAAAAGGACCGCATAGAGTCACTCGAGAAACGTCTTGAGGTAAGTGTCACAAATCAGGGCTGGTTAAAACAGAATTGAAACTCATTTCTCACTGTAAATATTCTATAGGTCTATGTTATGTTTTGTTATAAGATGTATATATTGTTACTTTTAGATCAATATATTTACTTTATTTCAAGAAATTTTATAAATGTTTTGTAGTCTCATTCTAATGAATGACCATAATTTTGTATCGTGAAATGAAATCGGCAGCTTCAATTTGCATTTTTACCCGCGGACATTACATGGAAGGTGGGTTTTTTCCCCAGATTTTTGTGTTAAAAAAGGGGTGCGGACATTACACAGATGCGGACATTACGTGGGTTTTTACGGTAGTCATATTTTTGAAGAAATTATGTCTTATACTTGCTGTTGTGATATCTGTTTGGCCTGAAAAATAATATATTACACAAACATGTATCTATGACAACCATCGTTTTACCCCACCTGATGTTAAATGGCATTTGTAATTTTCAGGGTAACAGAGCACACATGACCAAAGATGCTAAACAAGCAGCAAAGCTAGAAAAAAGATTAAAGATCCTTCTCGGAGGCTATCAGGTAAGACATTGTCTCACTTACAGAAAAAATATTTAGCTGCTATTTTATTTTTAGGGATAAGATCTTCTTTTTATTATTATTTTTTTTTTATTGGCAGAAGGATCTGACTTTCACTTGAAAACTTCCACTGGTTTTCTTTTTGTATATTCCATTCCTAATATTCAAAATTCAGAATACCGTGAAGGTTAAGGTATTGTTTATTTAAATGTTGTCAGAGTCTGTGATGGTTCCTCACTATAGTTCTTACCTCTGATACATTAAATGATATTTAGCACTACAGCTATTTCATCTGAGGTACTTGGTTGTAAATAGATTGATATCACAAAAAATATTATTTTACAAGTGATGTTCTCTGACGAGAAGTGATATGGTGGTTGCAAAGATGTCTTACAATATTTTCCCTATTTTCAGTCACGTTCCCAAGGTTTGATTAAACAGATTCATGATGTTTATGAACAAATTGAGCAGACCTTTGTGGAGCTGAAAACATTTGAAAATCTGCGACAACATGAGTTAGGAGCTATACCAAAACGATCAGAGGTGAGTTCTTTAGTGGTAATAAATTTGCAAATTGATTTGGAGCTTTAGAAAATGTGGAATGTAATCTTTTTTGCATTTCTGATAAAAGTTGCAGTTTTTGTCTAATATTGAATTGAATCTCATAAATTGGTTACAAAGTCTTTAAAAGTGTGTCACTATGTTCCTCATGAGCTTAAGAGTGAAAGCAGAAATGATCACTTCCAATATTCTACAGAATTCATGTGAAATCTATGTATAATGAATCGTACAGGAGAGTTCATTTAGCATAGGATTCTTTTGAAGGAAGATTTAAGAATAGTTAATTTTAGTGAGGCCCTGGTGAGCTAAAATGAAAAATTTGTGATGAGTTTCGTAAATCACATATTAAGTGGAAATGAAAAATCTTTTTATCTTATGATCAGTTATTTAGACAAATATTGTAAAAAACAGACATTTCTAAGTCAAACTTGAATGTCCTTTCAGCTCTATCTCTATGGTCCTGATTGTTCATCATAATGTAATTTTTGAAAATGTCATTTCATTATCTAAACCAGACATTACAAAGGTTATAACACATGTGTAATAGACAAAAAAATACTGGTATATTCATTGCAAGACAAGATAGATTTACCGTATATATTTTGACATTTTTTTTTATTTTAGTTTAAAGTAAGAAATTTAAATTACTGTGCAAAGAAAGTTTTTATGAAGCAAGTATTAAAATGAATTTTAAAGCTCAACTTTTTGGGCTGTCATAGCAGAGTTATTTTGTAGTTGTCTCTTCCACAACATTTGTTTTTTTCTTTTTTCAGTCTTTAACAGAAGATGTACAGAGACAGACAGAGCGAGAAAGAGAGTTACAAAAAAAGTTCAGTGAGCTTCAGTACAGAAAAGACATACTGCAGTACGAGAGGAGGTGAAAGGACATTGACAGTGAGCTTCAGTACAGAAAAGACATACTGCAGTACGAGAGGAGGTGAAAGGACATTGACAGTGAGCTTCAGTACAGAAAAGACATACTGCAGTACGAGAGGAGGTGAAAGGACATTGACAGTGAGCTTCAGTACAGAAAAGACATACTGCAGTACGAGAGGAGGTGAAAGGACATTGACAGTGAGCTTCAGTACAGAAAAGATATACTGCAGTACGAGAGGAGGTGAAAGGACATTGACAGTGAGCTTCAGTACAGAAAAGACATACTGCAGTAGGAGAGGAGGTGAAAGGACAATGACATTGTCATTTATAGAAAAGACATTTCAGCATGAGAGGATGTGAAAGAAACTTGATGTGAATTGTAGAAAATATGTTTGAGAAGAATTTACATGAGTTGGATAGAAAAGGCATTCTTCAGAGAAGAGGAAAGAAAAAAAGAAGATAATGTTGATTGAATGTGTTCTGTTCAAATATGAATGCAATTGTTTGGTGTATGGATGATAGAAAAACAGTCAAGGACAGATGTTGTGAAATTTACTTCAACTGATATAGAGAAGAAAATTGTGAAATATGAATGATTATAGTAAATATTATAGATAGTAGTTCACTACCAGTTTGGCTTAAATAGGTCACTGTGACCTACATCCGAGGAAATGCATTTTAGGTAAAGTTGTGAATTGTTTTGGGAGATCCCGTAACCCATAGGAAGCTCTCGTCTTACTCTTAATTCTAACGTGAAGTAAGTGTATAAGCGTATCTGTTTAATAGTCTATATACTCCGGGACCTGAACGCCTCACCTATAAATCAGGGGGGGTTACTCTTTGTGATTTGCGACAAATGTTTCTCATTGGACAATGTGTAAATTTTCAGTAAGAAGCCACATTGACTCAACAGCAGTCATTTTGTTCAACCAGGAAGCAAAAGTGGCATTATATTAATGCTTGTAATATAATAGCTTGCATTCCAAATTTTGAATAAAATGAGACAATACCAACATTTTTACCAATCATTCGCTTACTCATAAATTCAATAAAATATCTATTAAGTTCACTTCTGTAACACACATTACAATAATAAAAACAATTATGAACTCTGTCTAGGATCTTGGTGCCCACTACTGTTTGATCTTTAAAACTGTAACATCTTTTCCCTTCTTTACTGTCAAATCCAAGATTTTGCTTTTCTGATCAAACAGATTAAAAGGTACAATTAGGGACCAAAAAGAACCTGTATATGAAATTTGAGAGATCCATTCAGTACTCTCCTTAAGAAATTAGCAAAACAAACTTTTAACTGTCAAAGCGAAGACTGCCACATGTAGATCATTTTGTTTTTTAATCTGACTCAACATTGAATGAACACAACTAGAGAAAAGGAGTACCCTTCTTACTATTATGCTGTCTGAGATTTATATATTAAGGAATTAATGATAACAAACTTCAACTGTCAAAATCCAAGATGGCTGTCTGTTGGCCATTTTGTTTCACTGTTCCAAAACTACATTGGCACAATTAAGGGCAAAGGGGAACCTGCATCAGTTTGAAAAATATCCTTCACTGATCAGATTCAAAATTGAATGTGCACAACTAGGCTAAAATCTGCATAAGAAGTTTGAGAAATTTATCTCTGGTAATTTGTTTAACTCTATATATAACAAGGATTGTGTACTGACAGGTAATGGATAGATGACAGAAAACAGCTAAAGGCTTGAACAGCCAGCTATTTAATGATGTTGGGCTAAATATATACAGCTTTTTCAGGTAGAAATCATATGAACTCTTGGATATTCTTCGACTGTCTTGTTGTCATACATGATATGGCACAAGATTGTCATACTTGGGATGGAAACCAGAGCCTGTAGAGGAAATCCATGTGCATACAGTAGTAAACATAAATCCAGTATGTTTATTTAACCTTAAGTCAAGAGTATTACATCAATACCAGAACTTACCACAGCACAAACCTGAGTCTTTGAGTAATGGGTAATTACCTTGAATGGTTAAAGAGGACTGGTCTGAAAAAAAATCAACTTTATAATTCGGCCTATCTGTTTCCATGGTAATAGAAAATAGTACTTAAATGATGAACTTCTCCAAAGCAAAAGTTACTACTGGTATTATTAGTGTAAAAAAGTTTTGAGCAATTATCTTGAATGGTTTCAGAGCATTGGGTCAGAAAAACTGAAATTTGTGATGAGGGTTATCTGTTTCCATGGTAACAGAAAATGTATTAATAAAGTCTTTGACAAGATATCTATAAAAATCAATAAAAGAGTTTTCAAAATAAACATACAAGATTTTCCCTTCCAGAGATTGTGGAAAAGACCGTGGTCAACTGACAGTATATCAGTAACAGTCAGTAGTGGTCAACTGACAGTATATCAGTAACATTCGGTAGTGGTCAACTGACAGTATATCAGTAACATTAGGTAGTGGTCAACTGACAGTATATCAGTAACAGTCAGTAGTGGTCAACTGACAGTATATCAGTAACATTAGGTAGTGGTCAACTGACAGTATATCAGTAACAGTCAGTAGTAGTCAACTGACACTATATCAGTAACAGTCAGTAGTAGTTAACTGACAGTATATCAGTAACTGTCAGTAGTGGTCAACTGACAGTATATCAGTAACTGTCAGTAGTGGTCAAGTGACAGTATATCTGTAACTGTCAGTAGTGGTTAACTGACAGTATATCAGTAACTGTCAGTGGTCAGCTGACAGTATATCTGTAACTGTAAGTGGTCAACTGACAGTATATCAGTTACTGTCATTAGTGGTCAACTGACAGTACATCAGTAACTGACAGTAGTGGTCAACTGACAGTATATCAGTAACATTCAGTAGTGGTTAACTGACAGTATATCAGTTACTAACAATAGTGGTCAACTGACAGTATATCAGTAACAGTCAGTAGTGGTCAACTGACAATATGTCAGGACCGGTCATAACAGGCGAAGTTACACTATACAGATAGACCGTAGTAACAAACATACATCAGTGTTGTTCTAAAGGAATAAATTAATTTTCCAATACCGATTTGTAGAGGTGAACTGACGTTATATCAGGTCAGTAGAGGTGAACTGACGTTATATCAGTACAGGTCAGTAGAGGTGAACTGACGTTATATCAGTACAGGTCAGTAGAGATGAACTGACGTTATATCAGTTCAGGTCAGTAGAGGTAAATTGACGTATATCAGTACAGGTCAGTAGAGGTGAACTGACGTTATATCAGGTCAGTAAATGTGAACTGACGTTACATCAGTACATGTCAGTAGAGGTGAACTGACGTTATATCAGTACAGGTCAGTAGAGGTGAACTGACGTTATATCAGTACAGGTCAGTAGAGGTGAACTGACGTTATATCAGTACAGGTCAGTAGAGGTGAACTGACGTTATATCAGTACAGGTCAGTAGAGGTAAACTGCCGTTTTATTAGTTCAGGTCAGTAGAGGTAAACTGGCGTTATATCGGTTCAGGTCAGTAAAGGTGAACTTGCGATATATCAGTACAGGTCAGTAGAGGTGAACTGGCGTTATATCAGTTCACGTCAGTTGAGGTAAACTGGCGTTTTATCAGTACAGGTCAGTAGAGGTGAACTGACGTTATATCAGTTCAGGTCAGTAGAGGTGAACTGACGTTATATCAGTTCAGGTCAGTAGAGGTGAACTGACGATATATCAGTTCAGGTCAGTAGAGGTAAACTGGCGTTTTATCAGTTCAGGTCAGTAGAGGTGAACTGACGATATATCAGTACAGGTCGGTAGAGGTGAACTGACGTTATATCAGTACAGGTCAGTAGAGATGAACTGGTGATATATCAGTACAGGTCAGTAGAGGTGAACTGACGATATATCAGTTCAGGTCAGTAGAGGTAAACTGGCGTTATATCAGTTCAGGTCAGTAGAGGTGAACTGGCGATATATCAGTACAGGTCAGTAGAGGTGAACTGACGTTATATCAGTACAGGTCAGTAGAGGTAAAATGACGTTATATCAGTACAGGTCAGTAGAGGTGAACTGACGATATATCAGTACAGGTCGGTAGAGGTGAACTGACGTTATATCAGTACATGTCAGTAGAGATGAACTGGTGATATATCAGTTCAGGTCAGTAGAGGTGAACTGACGATATATCAGTACAGGTCAGTAGAGATGAAATGACGTTATATCAGTACCAGTTGAGGAGAATATATGAACTGTATGTATGTAACTGTTATAGGTGCTGCGTGCGACATCAGTATTTACATTTAATAAGGACAGATTATACACTAGATAACAAATCAAAAACGAATAAAATAAACATCACTTTGTTTTGAATTATTTACCAGATAATCCAAATAACTGCGTGACACTAAAACAAACTGTACGAAGCATCCATTACTGACATATGCAGTCATTAATAATAAACTTTAAACGTCATTCCGGGTACATAACGTCATCGTTTTTAATGGTTCCGCTAATAATGGAGGCTACATTGACAGCAGAAATACTTCATTTGTATACATAATTAATTTAGGTTCCTAGTATCACTGATGAACAAGTATCACTATGGCGCCTTGTTTCGGTTTATTCTTGCATTTTAACCAATCCATTACTACTTTGCTCTTTTATACTGTTAGCTTGATTCACAGCGGTTGTAAAATTTGCTTTCATACCGTAATGACAAATTGGATTTCAATTATAGTTCTCTGTTTTAACGACAAGACGTTAATGTAAGTTGAACCACTCTTTGCGATTATAGTGTGACGGATGATGTAACGTCCGATATCATTAGGAATACTTTATCACAGTAACAATAACATCGAAAACAAACCATCTTCTATAATACAGTGACGGGGGTTATAACATTGAAAATCATACCATCTTCTATAATACAGTGACAGGGGTTATAACCTCGAAAACAAACCATCTTCTATAATACAGTGACAGTGGTTATAACCTCGAAAACAAACCTTCTTCTATAATACAGTGACGGGGGTTATAACATTGAAAATCATACAATCTTCTATAATACAGTGACAGGGGTTATAACCTCGAAAACAAACCATCTTCTATAATACAGTGACAGGGGTTATAACCTCGAAAACAAACCTTCTTCTATAATACAGTGACGGGGGTTATAACATTGAAAATCATACCATCTTCTATAATACAGTGACAGGGGTTATAACATCGAAAACAAACCATCTTCTATAATACAGTGACGGGGGTTATAACATTGAAAATCATGCCATCTTCTATAATACAGTGACAGGGGTTATAACCTCGAAAACAAACCTTCTTCTATAATACAGTGACGGGGGTTATAACATTGAAAATCATACCATCTTCTATAATACAGTGACGGGGGTTATAACATCGAAAACAAACCATCTTCTATAATACAGTGACGGGGGTGATAACATTGAAAGTCATACATTATTCTATAATACTGTGACGGGGGTTATAACCTCGAAAATCATACCTTCTTCTATAATACAGTGACGGAGGTTATAACATTGAAAATCATACCATCTTCTATAATACAGTGACGGAGGTTATAACATTGAAAATTATACCATCTTCTATAATACAGTGACGGGGGTTATAACATCGAAAATCATACCATCTTCTATAATACAGTGACGGGGGTTATAACATTGAAAATCATACCATCTTCTATAATACTGTGACGGGGGTTATAACGTCGAAAACAAAACATCTTCTATAATACAGTGACAGGGGTTATAACCTCGAAAACAAACCATCTTCTATAATACAGTGACGGGGGTTATAACCTCGAAAACAAACCATCTTCTATAATACAGTGACAGTGGTTATAACCTCGAAAACAAACCATCTTCTATAATACAGTGACAGGGGTTATAACCTCGAAAACAAACCTTCTTCTATAATACAGTGACGGGGGTTATAACATTGAAAATCATACATTATTCTATAATACAGTGACGGGGGTTATAACGTCGAAAATCATACCTTCTTCTATAATACCGTGACGGGGGTTATAACATTGAAAACAAACCATCTTCTATAATACAGTGGCGGGGGTTATAACATTGAAAATAAACCATCTTCTATAATACAGTGACGGGGGTTATAACATCGAAAACAAAACATCTTCTATAATACAGTGACAGGGGTTATAACATCGAAAACAAAACATCTTCTATAATACAGTGACGGCCGTTTCGATGTCTGTACTATGAATTTTACTTTCTACAGTGACAGACGTTATAACGCCTGAACTATGAATTCTACTTTCGACAATGACAGACGTTATGATGTCTGAACTAAGAATTCTACTTTCTACAGTGACAGACGTTATGATGTCTGAACTAAGAATTCTACTTTCTACAGTGACAGACGTTATGATGTCTGAACAGACGTTATGATGTCTGAACTATGAATTCTACTTTCTACATTGACAGACGTTATGATGTCTGAACTATGAATTTTACTTTCTACAGTGACAGACGTTATAACGCCTGAACTATGAATTCTACTTTCGACAATGACAGACGTTATGATGTCTGAACTATGAATTCTACTTTCTACAGTGACAGAAGTTATAACGCCTGACCTATGAATTCTACTTTCTACAATGACAGACGTTATGATGTCTGAACTAAGAATTCTACTTTCTACAGTGACAGACGTTATGATGTCTGAACTAAGAATTCTACTTTCTACAGTGACAGACGTTATGATGTCTGAACTAAGAATTCTACCTTCCTACAGTGACAGACGTTATGATGTCTGAACTAAGAATTCTACTTTCTACAGTGACAGACGTTATGATGTCTGTACTATTCTACTTTTCCTGCAGTAAGGTCTATGAAGATGATGAGGACATTTTATGGTCCTCGAATAGATCTGACGGGAAATATTATATTGTCGAATATTGTCATTAGAGAAACGGCGTTAAGAGTTTCGACACACCTGGTATCATTCTCCTTGTAATTATACAAGAGTTTCGACACACCTGGTATCATTCTCCTTGTAATTATACAAGAGTTTCGACACACCTGGTATCATTCTCCTTGTAATTATACAAGAGTTTCGACACACCTGGTATCATTCTTCCTGTAATTATACAAGAGTTTCGACACACCTGGTATCATTCTCCTTGTAATTATACAAGAGTTTCGACACACCTGGTATCATTCTTCCTGTAATTATACAAGAGTTTCGACACACCTGGTATCATTCTCCTTGTAATTATACAAGAGTTTCGACACACCTGGTATCATTCTTCCTGTAATTATACAAGAGTTTCGACACACCTGGTATCATTCTCCTTGTAATTATAGAGTTTTCATATAGATATTTCTTCTTTTGTTCATATTTTTTATTCTTTTAAAGCAACATTTTGTTTTCTGTGTTTTCTTGTTGTACTTTTTTAGAATCTCCCAGATTTGTATTCAATCATGTTGGGTATTAATTGAAACTATCACTGTAGCATTACTTAATTTATTTTAATTAAAAGAAACTTTGTGGAAATTTCTGTGGGTCAGTTGCTGTTACAAAAACGATTCCCTCCCTTTTGCCAAAACAAATTTGGAGAAACATAAATGAAATCAGTGATGTCCTGAAAGCATTTGGAGCATGTTAATATAGAAATAAAACACGACATGTAAGTAGATCTCCATTTTTATTGTGAGTGATGGGATTTGAATCTATGACCACCACAAGTTGAGAGAGAATCTCAAGTGAGCTGCCAGCTAAGTGTGTGACTTTGATAATGTTAGTCAAGGGGCGTAACCGAATGGTTCTGTTAATATCTGGACAAGTACAATTAAAGGTAAAAGTTAGTACAAACAGAATTCTCTATGTTTTGCCTACAGTGGGACAAGTATCAATGGATTAAATTTATCATTGAAAAGTGATATTTATGTATTTCTCTAATCATTGTCAATTTGTTATAAATAATTTTGGAATGTACTAATGTTATTTTTTATTTTGATGTTGACCCCTCATTGTTAAGACTTCAGTTTGTAAATTTTTGCGTATCAAACAGTATAGAACGAAACTAATGATACTTCTTCAGGAATCCATCATACGCCAGTAGGGAATCCCTTTATTTTGAAAGTGGGCTAGAACCATTGTCTTAAAGACGAACTCGAAGGAAGTTACAGTTATTTTACAAAATTACTGACAATCTAACACCAAGTTACTTGTCTTCCTTACTACCACCGTTAGTTTCCGAAAATTCATCTTACAATCTTCGTAATGCACATAATTTTTCGTTACCAAAATTCCGACTACAATTAACAAACTCATCTTTCTTCCCCTCCACTATTAGGCTCTGGAATCAGCTCGATTTAGAAATAGGGCAAAGTATATCATACCAATCTTTTAAAAAAAAATCCCTTAAACGCAACATAACTGTTCCAAACTTCTATTATTTCGGCGATAGGAAAAAAAATATACTCCACGTTAGACCACGAAATCATGCCAGCACTCTTAACAATGACCTCTATAGACTTAATTTAATCAATTATCGACACTGTCAATGTGGACACCCTATTGAAGACACCTTTCGCGATTTCGTTATCTGTAACAACTATGTTAATCAGAGACTTATTCTATTACGTGAATTAAATAGTTATATTCCGATTGACCTGCATCTGCTCTTATATGGTAATGACAATCTATCTGAAAATGATAACTGTAGAATAAGTCAAGTCACTCAACAGTATATTATAGACTCTAATAGATTTCCTTCTCTTTCTTATATACCCCCTTTATTTATAATATTGTTGCTAAAACCAACATTTATTACCGTAGATATATAACTATAATTAATGTACATAAACATAATTATTGGTCTCTCCCGCAATGTATGGCACCAAGGGTGTGTATTCAGAAGGATTCGAAATGAAGAGGAGAAAGCACTTGAGCACGGGACGTGATGAACATTAGAAAATTGTGACACAAGTATTCAGTTAATCATTTGGTTTTAATGGAAATACGCGATGGATCTTACTGCGAGAAGTACACGGAAAACCTTACGTGGTGGATAGGTGACCCCATACCTTCGCGTCCGATTGAGAGAATCGAACCTCGGTCGCCCAGTACGTCAAAATCACGCTGCTCGAGCAATCGATCTTGTTTTATGTAACATGTTTTAACATACACCTATTTGATTCTCAAAGACAACACAACCTTTTGTTAAACCCTTCGACAACCATGGAATATGTATCAGATAGTCTATATGTATATCTAGTATGTCATGATATACGATAAGAATTTAAAATTCAATTCTTCACTTTTGAAGAGTACAATCTGAACTGTGATGGAAAGTAATCTTTTTTTTAAATATCATTGATTTTACTCTTAAACGTGAAATCCTTTATCCATGTATGTGACAGAGAACCGAATCAGATAACATATCCTTTATCTTAAGTTGGTGAGCTGTTCCTAGGTCGGGTATAACATCGACCCCGCATTGTGTTGTGTGGAATATAGCTCGGGACGGCATTAAAACAGGGTTATTGATTCATTATACAAGCTTCCTAGTCATAGAATTTTAGAGAATAAGTATAGGTTTTTCTTCTCTCGTCCATCTTGTTAAATAAAAATAGCTTTATGCACGAAAAGATTTAACTAGATGTATTTCATACTCCGAAAGGATTTCTAAATATTTTTAAGGTTATATTGAGGCAGACCAGGAATGGACTATTTCAAATAATTAGACTTAAATAGATTACCCCGATAGTAAACTTCGCTGCTTGTTTTCAGATTTTCTTTGCTGTTATAATTCGATCGGTGTCGGCAGGATTTATATAAAATAGACGGAGGAAGTTTTTTTTTATTTCAAATTCAGCAAAGCCCAGTAAGTGCTGGACGATATAGATCATTAATCAGTCATTACTTAAAAGCTAAGGCTATTGTATTTTAAAGTGATGAAACTAGACATGAATAAATACGTTTTACGCTATGATATAAATCAAACACAAATCACTCTTGTTCGACATAAAAAAAACCAATCGTAAATGAGGAATGAATCTGGGCTGACTTTGTAGATATACAATCACGAAGATATATAAAGATATTTACAACCGATACATCAAATAAATCAAAATAGTTAATAACTCCAATTAATTCTATTCTCTAGATTACATTACAGTCGAACTTCGTTATTTCGAAGTCGACGGGATCGTTGGAAAACTTCGAGTTATCCGAGGATTCGATGTAAGTAAGACTGAATGTTTAAAGAGAAACAATTGCCGGGACAGGAGAAATACTTCGAGTTAATTGAGGTCTCCTTGTTATACGAGTTCGCGATAATGAGGTTCGATTGTAATTTATTTTATCACTACAATTAGTGAAATCCCCCCCAAAAAAAATGACTGACAAATGCAAGCACTCGACGAAATTAATGAACAGATAACACGTTGAATCGACCTTTCTCTTATCTACATAGTTTCTTATCATCTAATCCGAACATAACGACGAAACGTTTATCGTCAACCTCAAAGCCATTGCTGACGTCTGTCGACACCTATTTACAATGCATTGGCCGCTGTTCCCCGTCGTTCTGTTAATTGGGATATGGCATGGCGGAGCAGAGGAGAGGGGGACGGAGAGAGATGAGATGTACATTGGCTCGTCTGCCAGGTGGGACGACGACAGGTAAAATAACACCAGTTTCTTTCCCATCTCCACGTAAGCAGGATGTACAAATCCCAAAAAACAACATTCACATGACGTTCAGTAACTTGTTCCCAACATCACGATGTTCGTGAAAGATGTCGACAACTGACAGATAAAAGGATACAAGCTATCGGAAGGTGCAGGTTTGGTGAAAATTATTGAGATTTTTTTTTTCGGAAGACATATTGATATCTTTAATTATCGTTATAAACCTGGTGGCTCCGTTGTTGTTGATTTGATCCTATTTGGAAGTCGAGATATACACGAAGGACCTCATTGAGATATTGTCTCCCTTGTACCTCTTACATTACAATAGTTTGTTGTTTTTTGTGACAAGAGTTAAATACTTTTTAAATATTGTTATGAAAAACAATTCGTTAAATTATGGTCGTATGATGTTCTAGTGACTAAGTGGTGTAAGAGATAGAACGCAGGCAACATTTTTTCCTTCGATATAGGTCAAAGGTCAAAGTAGAGGTCAGAGTGACATACTTTTGATACATGACAAGCCGCCTTACTAAGGCGAATATATGCCCCAAGTGTGAAGTTCCAGTGACTAGTAGGGTAGGAGATAGAGCCTGGACAGGTAGCAGAAGGACGGACGGAAGGACAGAAAATCGAACGAGCATAACACTTAGAGTGATGATAAGAACTTCCATTCGATTGGTTATAAATATTCCATTGTCTCCGCTATGAATTGAACCCGTAACAGCTGATGTACTAGTCTTGCTTTGAAGCTAGTACTAACCGGAACGAAATACTCTCCTTTCGAGTTTTCTTGGGTGATTTGAATGCTTGTGGCTAATTGAAAAAAAGTATTTCCGTCAAAACCTCCATTGTCCCTACTACACATGGGTTCCAATGTAACAGACAGTAACATACTTCTTCCATTGCCTCCTCTAGGGATCGAACCTTGGGTTTGAGGCTTATTCTGGAAGCCTGGGTTATCTTCTATGTATGGTATAAGAAATTCGGCTTAATGTTTAATTGTAGAAGATCAGAGGAACTACTAAGACGTTTAGTGCCATCACTGATAGAGCGAATGGATCGCCAGGAGACTAGACTGCAACAGCTAGAGGAAGGTTTGAAGCTTAAAGATGTTCAAATAGATCGGCTGGAGCGAGAACTTCATGACCTGAAAACAGCGTCAACTCCAAACCGTGTACTAGTGAACAAACAGCAGATCAATGCAACCGACCGTAACGCTATCCAAGATTTACTTGGAGACAACCCTGGAATTCCAAACATATCTCAACAGGTGCACGATGGAAATCCTGTAAATGAAATTTCGAAAAAATCAGGTAAGTATAAGCACTGTTTTCTGGGTGGTCAATAATGAAAACGTTTTAGGAACCCATTCTGTAGATAACTGAATGTTGGTACATTTCTGATAGATTGTGAGACAATGTCCTGAACAATTATTCAAATAATTAACAGCATTACTTTATATCTAGATACAGTGGTAACGAGCCTTTGTTAAAGTCGTTGAACTTCTCTATCAAAAATATATGTACTAAAAAACCTGTATAAAACAGTAGTCAATATGTTTACTCTCTCCTGTCGAGAATTTATTTAAAATTGTTAATCACATTGCAAAGATGTAAATTGATTACTTTCAAGAAACAGTACTCTCTGTCTATGTCGTGTTTTGCTTTTTTGATCTGATTCAACGTCTACTTTTTTTTTAATTTCAGTTAGGGTTTCATCAGTCGACGCCAGTTGGACGCATGCGTTTAGCGTATCGTTGAGTAATACATTAGTTTCAAGTCCTGGTTCGATGATAATATTTGATGAAGTTCATCTAGACGTAGGCAATAATTATAACAAAGGAGACGGAGTGTACCAGGTTCCGGTCAGCGGGTTGTATGTGTTCAACTGGATTATCGTAGGAATAAAGACGGAATGGTTAGTTACAGAACTCGTCATCAACGGTTCATCACGTGGTTCATTGATGACGTGTGCTGAATATGGACACGCGTACGACAGCTCCACGGGTGTGATTGTCACACCAGTCAATGCTGGGGACCATGTTTTAATTCGATCGACGAGAGGTGGGACGGTGCGTAGCGTACCCGATCTTGGCAAGTCGATGTTTTCGGGTTGGCGTATATCCTAGTTTCCTGTCATCATGCCCTTTCCAAATTCCTTGATCTATCTAAGCTGGTATTATTAGACTCAAAATAAGGTGAAACCCGAGGAAATTGCGAACGGATTTCTGATAGCATATTTTCTATTTATGACAAACTGCCTAAATGAGCTGTAACCTTTTTCGCTACTCCATTCCGAAAATAGTGTGCATTGTCACAAACTAAGATTGCAATTTGGCTGATGTGTTTCTTTTCATTTTACAATTTTAATCTTTTTTCTTTGTTATCACCTAACTAACCAAACAGAATCTGTATCAATGATCGATCGTCATGTCCTGTGTTGTGTGATACACATTCGTATTCCTGTGTGTATATTGCCGGGAAAAGTCCTACGCTGATAAAAAGATATTTCATTCGGAAAGATAGGCTGTCAGAAAAATTCGTAGAAAATGTAAATCAATTTTCAAGACGAACATACCCAAATAAGAATACATTTATGAATATATATTTTTCTGTCGCGGAGGTTAAATTTTGTAATTGATTAAGATTATGGGTATATATAATTAAATTGATGAATGAACTAAGTCTTCCATTTTGTAATGTGGATCAACAGTTAAAGGTTTATATATACATGTATAAGAAGGAATTTTTATTGTTAAACTCCCACACAAAAAGTAAATAACACCTTTTAATACAAATAAAAGTTAGTTACTGCAGAGCGAAACAATTAATTAAACTGCATCATACAGCTGTTTCTTCCTTCTAGGACTCGACAAAATTGCTTAAGGGACAAAACTTGCATGCAATCGTTTGAAATACAAAGGTAACATTATGAGTATAGTTCAGCTGCGAGGAAACCGTTTTTTCTGGGGATGTATTTTAGAGATTGAGAGAAAGATGAACTGTTTGATTTTACAGTTAACCTATATCTTATTGAGTCAGGTTTTCATATTGTGAATGTTATCTTTAAAAAACAGAAATATTCCAATGAATATTTTATATTTAATCAGTTAACTAAGATACTCTTTACTTACACTTGTTAAACTTTCCTGGAACTATGGTATTGCATCTCTTTGACTGCTACACAGGGGTTTTCTTGCATGGACGTAGTAATGGTTTAACCGTAGAGTTACGAAGGACTTTCTTACTCAGTGCCTTTTCTTTATTGACTTACGCATCGCTTCCTTCAATACCGATCTAAAGAGAATATTGCAGTACAACATATATTGACCTTCTACAGACGACGCTTTACGAACACAAACTTGAAACATCTTGACTTCCTCTTTGTCTGTGTCTCGGTGCAGATCTTTGAGTCTACAACTTCTCTGGCATCACCTTGCAGCAGTCATATATCAGTGCCTTCTATACAGTTTGTCCAAAAGTCTAATTCTTCTGCCCTTTTTTAAAACAAATGTTTTCTATTAAACCATGTATTTTCTTTGAATTCTTTTCTCTATTCGTACATAGAATAACGGTTAAAATGTCCTGTAATTGTGCAACATGAATCGAATACCAAGTAGCTCTATCGGGACAATTTTGAATAAAAGAATACCTCGGTGAAATTATTTCATGTTTCCCTAACATGGCGCCCACAGAAGCTGTATTGGAGAACAGTATATATTGATTTAAAGTCAGTGATTGCTTTTCATAATTTTTTCCAATTTATTTTCCATTTTACGATGTTGACGAAATAAACTCTATGAAACACCACTGTGATATTTATGAATCAACGGTCTTATTCCGAGACTTCCTTCATTGACTAATTTGCTATATCTGGAGCATATCGGCTTTGCTCTCTACATAGAGATTGGTGAGAAACTTTGCCGTACAGCACACAGGTTGATAATATGGACCTGCATTTGTATGTTTATAAGTTTATCGCTCTGTGTTGTAATATCAACATTAGGTATGGATGTCACGCCTCTTTTGTATCTGTAATTAAATTTCCAAAAATTCTTATAAACAGATCAGAATAGGTTCACATTCACCAAGACTATAACACATCATTTGGTCCCTGCAATGTAATATGTTAAATATGACTGGAATTACTTAATGTTATATAGATAATATTTGATGCGCACCTGTAATACTATTCACAGTCAATGATAAAGTCAAGCTTGGCTTTAGAAAGACTGTTGTTTATTTGATTCCCTTCAACCGTTTTGTTGGAAATCAGCTATGTTTAACTTTTATTAGTTTTTTTAAAACAATTTATACCTGAAAAGGTCTTGACCATATCATGCAAAAACGGTTGTTTTTTTTTTAATTCAGAGATATCCCAAAAGTGTATTGTATAAGTATATTATTATGTCCTTGACCAATTCATCCGATCTAGGTACTGGGCATTAAATAAAATGTATTCTTTGTTGTCTGACCTTTTCTTCTGTCACTGCCACGTTCTTTACCACTGGTTGGTCTTGATGTACACGGTCACGTGGTATACGAAATTGAAATGGATTAGGGTTTAGTTTACTAATAGTCTAATTGTTTTAAGAAATATTTGAACCGCTACAAATACATTTATCTATTCAATCAAACAGACATTCATTTCATTCTGTTTTCGCATGTGAATACATTTTTACATGGTCACATTACAGCGATATCTTATGTAATTTATCAAAACAGATGTGAATTTGAGCACGCCTTGTTGCGTGCAGATCTGTAACTCGTCTGAAAAAGATGTCGTGACTCCATTGTTCTGTATGATAAGTACTTTCTTTAAGGAAAATGTCAAGATGGGCGTTAACAAACTGTAATTATATTTTCTATGGCTTTCCACAACCAAAACGACAAAAAAGACAAATTATAACATGACGTAGGGCACTTTAATTAGGCTAGACATCAATAATTATAACATTTATGTAATACAATACCGTGTCAAGGCCGTGAATCACAAGTACATGTTGAGTAAGATGTAGGCTGATATTTTCAGGTTTGATTTGTCTTAATGTTAATACATTTATTTGCTTTTTAAATACAGTCGAAACCTCGTTAGCTCGAAGTTGGCGGGGCCACGGAGGAAACTTCGAGATAACAGAGTGTTCGATTTAGGTGAGATCGGATGTTTTGTGTGGAGTTAGGCAGGGACCAAAGAAATACTTCAAATTAAACCGGGTCTTCGAGTTACACGAGTTCGAGAAAACGAAAGTTCGACTTCAAATAATTATCAGAAACACGCATCGAGTTGTCTTTCAACTCGCAAAACATATGACTAGGTACCTTAACAACTGTTCAAGGAATAAAGCCAGACGTGTTTCGTGTTTCGTGAGGTTGCATTTGATAGGAAAATGAAGAATTTTTTCTTGTTACGCTTCATTCTAAATGTAACCTAATGTTAGATAATCTATATGATTTTTTAAAATAATATTAGTGATATTCCTATGCTGCATTAAACGATGTTCATATCATGTGTATGTGTAATTATTATGAAAGATAAATCATTATTAATGATTCAAAAATATCTTAAACAAGAAATTCCTGAGTCGTTCTTTAAAACAAAATAACTTGAAAAAAGGGCCTTTAAAAGATCTATAGATAATTATGATATTAATAATAAAAAGAATTATTACAAAAAGATGATTACCACTTTTTGTTAAGACATCAGCGAGAAGAATGAATAATTTCATATTTCAATGTCGTGTATATTTCAATGTCGTGTATGTTTCAATGTCGTGTATATTTCAATGTCGTGTATATTTCAATGTCGTGTATATTTCAATCATTGATTTTGTAATCTATGTCAAGTAAATTAATTTGTTGTTATTTATTTTGATTAGGTTCTTTAAAATTCAATCAAAATGTCAAAAGTAAAGCTTACATGTCTTTTACGAAACAATAAGACTAAAATCTGGCATGGTTCATTATCATAGCTTTTACTTAATGAAACAAACCGGCTGAAAAATAATGACGATCATGTCCCGAATTCTGTCTTGAGGAAATGTTCAAGTCAACAATTAGAGGTTTTGAATTCTATACCAAAACAAGAAACCTGCCAACAATATCGTCTGTCATGAAATATCTCTCCAACGAGCTGTGCAAGATATCTGATGTTGAAAATTAAATATGAAGTCATACATTTTCTACTTTCGTAATATTTCAGATATTTGAAATGATTTGTAAAATCAATGAATATATTTATTTCTTAATATATTATATGACATATTGCTAAATTGGAAAACATTTACACATGAGTTTTCTCCTTAAATTTATGTTGCCCATACTTATACAAGAAATAAATAGAAATACCTGACAGGCCGTCTAAGGCATATAATAACAGTACTGATCGCACACTCTGTGATAGAAAGGAAAGAACAAAAGACAATTTGTTATTTAAAGAATTTAACCATATTTATACAACTTAAGATCACTATTATGGATTTTTTTAAATCTAAAAGTTTTCTGAAGGAAAATACATAGACGAAGGATACATACCAATAGCTTATTTTGAGACATGTTTATCTCCATAGTTACACAAGCACTAGAAGTCAATATACAGTCTGACATGAATAATTTACATCTTTCCTGTCAATCATGCTGATGGGAATTGATTTTAGATAGAAATATTGATAGATGAATTAGTTTACATTTACGATTACCTGTCGGAATATCTTTAGCTCCCAGAGACATTACCATCAGTAATGAACTGACGAAAAACCTTCCGTATGTTTCCACATGTAGTGGGAGTTATGTTGGACAGAATACACTCCACCATTTTCCTGGCTTGAGATTTGTTTCTTGTTCAATCACAGAATGACATAAATCACCTTTTTATACGATTTGGCTCTATTAATAATGATTGACGTTTTTGTTTAATTTGTTAAAGTTGAAGAGGAGAAATTGCAATATTACCATCCCTCAAACATTGTCTCGAATTCAGTTCACATAGTAATGTAATGAAAGTTAAAAACTAGCACTAATATGGCTGCCCTATTCTCATGACATTAAAAATATGCCCCTGTGAACTCTACCACAATATAGACAAAGAAATTCTAGATCTACACGTACTATCTTCACGCACAGAATATCAATTTTCACATAAATGCACTACCAAGGAGTGCTGTTGAACACACCAGTGTTGACGTCATACTCAGACTTATTCACTGTACATGTTTGCCTTAAGCTTCTGTCTGACCTTAATGCAACTTTTCGCCATTGAGTTACTTGGATTTACAACCGAATCGTCCTGATCCTTTCCTGCCCGTTGCTGCATTGATACCGTAGAGATCCTAATCACACCCCTGTCGAAACTATCGTCTGAAGCCTCGCTGTTATATATCATACCGAGGCTGTGTCGCCCAACCATGTCCGTCATATAACTAGTCTCTCTGGTAGCGTTCTTCTCTTTTCGAAGAGTCAATTTAATAACATCAGTCTGCTCAGAGTTTTCATCAGGAATATTTATCATGAGTTTTCGAAGTGCTTGCCCATTATCCAACCTGTTTTTGTTATTGTTTTTATAAACACGACCTGCCCCCCTAAATGCCGGATTCGGTGCGTAAACTGTTGGATTGTAAGAATCCATAGCAAGCGAAACCTGATGAGCATGCTTTTCTGTTTCTTGTTTGTGACGTAATGCGATATCTGAATTGTTATTAATGTTTACATTGAACACTGTGTGAAGAATAACAGAATCATCATCGTGTTCTGTGTCGGAATACTGTTCATCAGGGAAGTCATTAACAGTTGGAAGACGAATAGTTCCGCTAGTTGTACTGGAACGCCGGGTCTCTTCCGCCTCGGTGTCAGACATGTTCCTGTCCGCCATTTCCTCCCGGTCCAGCCTAAGCTGGTGTTTCTTTGCCCTTCTGTGCACCACGTTGGCCGTTCTAGGAACTTTGACTTTTTCCGATTTGGCACCCACAGGGTTATCCATATCACTGTCATTACCGCTTTCAGAATATCCTTGTCGGGAACTATCAATATAATCTCGGTCAAGTGACGTTCGATATTTGACTTCCGGTTCCGGATCTTCCTTTGGAATCACGATGACTTTTCCCTTCCTTGATTTATCCCGATTGATCGAAAATTCCTTTTTATCGACTGCGGACTCTGGAGCAGAGAACACAACAGGAGATGTCTTGGTCTCGTTTCCTGGTACCACGGCCAAAAACCGGTATAATTTAAATTCCTTTGCACGCTTGTCTGATCGTTTCACTCTGTTAGATCGTTCAATCATAGACTTAGCTGTTGACGTAGTTTTAAACCCAGTTGAATTTTTGTCTGCACCCTGAGCCATAATAGGCGTGCTTTTAGTGCTAAAAGATGTAGTATGAGACGCCCGACTTACAGCGGATCCACGAATATTCTTGCGAGAGTTTTCATGCATAACTACTTTTTCAGACAGTTGTTGTTCGTACTTATTACTATTTTCTGCTTTATAAACTGCTCCAGTTCTTGCCGTCCTCGAAGTGTCTAAATACATCTGTTTTTCAGAAGATTTGTTTAGTTGAACTTGTGGTCTTGGAGACTTAATTGGCACTTTTTGATTTTGTAGAAACTGTATGACCTGCTTCATATTGAGCTTGTCAGGATCATGATCATTAATAGGAGTCGTACTTCGTGGAAGCTGATTTACGTTTAGTTTATATTTCTTCCTTTTTTGTGCTTGCTCCTTAGCGTAACTGTCCCTATATCGTTGAAGTTCTACTTCTCCTGGTGTGGGTTTCACCATTCCCTTGACCTGCTGGTTCAGAAAGTACCTAGCAGACCCAACTGAAGGTTTAGGTAGAACTTTGTGTGTTTGAGATTCGGACGGAGATACAACTGACGTCCTTGTCTCTATACTTGCAGCGCTGGTCTTTCTAGAATGTTCTCCACTGGTGTCCCCCATTGAATACGCACTTGGTCCTCCAGTGGTATGGAAGTTAAGACCGTGTTCGTCAAGCATCATTGAATCCACATCATTTCTGTTATAATTAACGTTATTATTGTTTTTATCGTGTCTTATTTTATGGTGACCTCCATCACACTGTTTCTTTCCAGAAGATTTCGAAGGTTTTTTCCCACTCGAGAACAACTGCACGTTACCAGCGTCCTTGTCGTTTGCCGCCTTCTTGTGAAGTGAAGAATAGTTACCGTTGGGACTGCTTCTATCCTGAAGAGAGTTTCCAGAGCCAACTCTTGTGACAGCCAATACAGGAAAACTCCGCTTTTGTGTGGTCGCCTTCGATTGATCTGAGTATGGCTTATCTTTGCCGGTTGACGTACGCATTTTATTGTTAGCGAACGGCACCAGTTGGATAACCGTGGGTTTCCATGTATCAGTCATTAGAACAGCTGTGCTCATTGTTGGTATGATTGACTGCGCACAAAAAACATACAAATTATAACAAATTATTTTCTTCCTTATTGTTCTTCTGCGTAGTGCCTCAGGGTAGCTCCACCTGTAATTGTCATTGTGACTGGGTCATTTCACTTCGATCAACGTTAAACATTGAGTCTTACTTCCAGTGCTTAGACGTATTTTCATTTATCGTTGTAATTTTCATAAAGGAATGTACACATTATTGTTGGAAACGATACAAACGATAGCTGGAATACCGCATTACAAATTAACAACGTTGAACTGCTTTTGTAGTGGTAAAATCCAGGTGTCCGGAGAGATGTTGAAATCTATTGCTGGACATGCAATTAACAAGTCCTAAGTGTTTCCGCCCCATAGTGATACTGACCGGTTGATCAATATGGCTCCATTTACCTGAAATGGACAAGATACTTCAGTTAATGACACTTGTAACTACAGGTGAGTGAAATCTAATTATGACGACCACCCTCAACATGACGACAAAGGAGATCATACCCTAATGGTTACAACATAAAATATGTATTAACCATTGGGGACTATACATAGAACATCACCACTTTAGATAGTAAAACGATATTTGATTTCTTTACTTATGTTGAGATTGCTAATAAAACTGAGTTTGTCTTTTTTGATAACAAAATGGTAATTTTACTTGACAACCGTCATTTAAAGTAAGAGACGATTGTTTCTATGTAATAGTGTACCTTTCATCTCTTGCTGTATACGATTGATGACAAACACATGTTTCTGTTATGTTTACAATAAAACTGCTGATCACTGTAACTATGTTACGTGAAAATTGAATGTAATATGTGTATTTACAATGCCAAAGAGTAAAGCAATCAGTGTGATTCATGAAAGATTCCAACGGAATTCCTGTGTTGATTGTTCTATCGTAATCGGACACAAACATTTGAGATAACATCTGGTCGATATTCTGTTCTACGTTTGAACTGATAATTGGTAAAACCAGATGGTTTCTCTCATACCAGTCATTGATAACGATACATATGTTTGCGAATTTCTTTCTATCCTTTAAAAATCATTCATATTAAATCGCGTAACCAATACTACAGAGAATACCACATTAAACGTGTATAACGATGGCTGTTATATAATATAATGTTTGACAACAGTCGTCGCTGATGAAATTAGCACAATCTTGTACATAATATTGACGGAATTTTGTGCGTTTTGATTTTATTTATGAATTTTGTTTATTGATAAAAGACCTGCGATAAGAGGAATACAAGGAAACATGACTAAATGAAGGGTTGAGAGGTAACTTCTACATACATACATAGGCTATTGATGAGAAATTGTATAAAAACTATAAAAATTAAAATAAAATAAAAATAAAATTACAGTGAGGAAAGAATATGAAAATTAAACGGACCGAGGATTGGGTCAAAGAAGAAATGTATTAATATCTACTGACTTGGATATGTCGGGGAACTTAGTTGGTATCAATGTGTTTACATAGTTAACAGATCGATATGATATTGTTGACATATGGTGTTGAATTGCTTAACCTACCATTGATTTTCTTACTATGAAAAATAATCCTTTTCAAAGGACAGACTGTCAAAAGTTGTGATACAAATGGTATTCTTGTAATTCAACGCTGCCAAAATATAACCTCCGCATTCTCAACCGTACAGGATATTCACGGGTTTTTTTCATTGGCAAAATATGAACAAGGTAGTTTGGTGTTCTGCATTCACCTTGCATACATCACACTCAATAGGTAAGATACATTTTGTTTGAGTCACTGTATCATCCCGAAGTTAACATGCACGCTTTGAAACATTGTTGGTGCGATGCCACAAAAATCATCAAGTGCAATACTAAAACAGACTAGAGAAAATTCCTTTTTTTTTACTCTCAGATTGCACAAGGTTATTTCCAAACCAGCAAAATAATACCCAAGATGATCCATCCTGGGTATTTATTTACGAAGGTGACATTGACAATTTTGCGCAGTATATAAGACTGAAAAGTTACATTACGGCTAATTTTTAATGTGCATGGAGTGCGGTGCTATGACCTAGGGAATGACTCTGCATCAAGATAGTATTCATGTCCGTTACAAGTACCGAAACATACTATACAAACGAAAAAACAATCGATATTTTTATTTGAATATTACGGACCCATCCCATAATATTTACATTCAAATCACACGAGAAGTATGCTAAGCCAGCTTATTCATCTACATACTTTTTTCTAGATAAAACCGCATGTATTTTCACAAACTCCACAATAGAGAAGGCATGGACATGTCCGGTACTTATCAGAGGGCTCTAGGTGAGTACACTGCAAATAAAGGATTTCTGCGACGTCGAGAGCTTATTGATTTACCAATCCCATGAAAACAACATACGCCCTGACAACTAATGTTAAAACAATTATCCAATGTCGACAGAAGTTCGCATGGCGTAAGATTACGTATCGATGCCTTAACTTTAAATACATCACGTCTTCCATCCATAATAGCTTAATCCGTCCCTGATTCTGAAATCTTTTAACTTGGGTTTGGTGTTTCGCTTTGTGATGTTAAGTGTATGTAGAAAAAATAAATTAATAAACCCCTTGCTATCTAGCACATTATGATATAACATTATAATTAAGAATCAATGGGCCTTCAGGATCAGCTGAATGTTTCCATACAAATGTTTGAAGACAACAGGAAAATACCGACATAATGATAAAATCTTAATTCAAATACTAAAGGAAAAGAGGCATAAATTTAAACAAGAAAGATGTACACAGAACCATTAGAAAAAAGTTTAAGGAGACACGACCATGTGCTCCGGAAGGAGAAGAGTCCTCTGTTTCATCGTCGAAAGCAAATCTTAGTCCAAGTAGAAAATTCATGCTTTGTGCATAAAAGGTGCCATCATGAATATTAAGTATATTTTTGGTATGTGCTTGAAACTATTTGTCATTTACATATATTTTCAACACTACAAGTCAATAAAATGATATATGATGGTAAGATATAATGAATATTGAGTTACACATACAATTAGACATTTACATGCTTGTTACCTACCTATATACTTTCAGTTTGATTTGCTATTCCAAATCTATATCTGACACATCCAGTAATCTTCTAATCCTGGACACAACTAGTAGTATTTTGCAACTTTGATTAATCCGAGTTAATTGCATACAGACATTTACATCCTAGATCCAATAGAGTCGTATCAAAGACACTCCGGCAATAATGGTTTTAATTGTCTTGGTTTGCTATTAAGACAAACCAATCCTTTTACTGGTCGCACTTTTAGACTTAGAGTACGAGTTGGCCTCGACGTTAAACGGTTGACGATTTAAATACGGGGTGTGGTATTACACTTTTTTAGAGTAACATTGAGTTAGTGTGGTTTAAAGAACAAATGAAAGGTAGGTACAATATTATTGTGTTGCTATACCAATCAGATAAGCCAGACACATACCTATACATAATACCACTTCATAAGATCCCTCGTGATACACATTGGTAGGATTCCCTCACCTGAACATTGGTCACCAAATTTAGGATATATGACTAAAAGCCAATTAAGGTGTAAATGCTTACACGTGTAGTTTAACTTTCCCCATAGGTTAGCCATACATAGCAAATGTTGTCGTGTGAAAACGATCGTCAATATACACTGTACAGGTAAATTAAATATCAAACAGGTATATATTCAAGGGGATGTCTAAATTTCATTATGCACTCTGTGCACAAAACGCCCATATTACCAAAACGGGTTACTCGCTTGATCAATTCTATAAACATCTTAACGACATTATGCCAGTTTATTTGATAATAGAAATGTGGATAAATATGTTGTATGAGACCGAATTAATTTCTCTGGATTCGATTACGAATTAGCATATTTTAAATTAGAAGGTGTAATTCACGCCAGACTGGTTGGCTTTCCTCGCCTGTAGAGACTGCAGTTTACATGACCGTTAGTTACCTAGGGACTAGTTTTAAAGTATGTTGATATATATTGACAATAGAGACCACGAGCACTGTCTACATGAAGCACAGTGACCCTCAATATTAGAAGTAGTTTATCAATAACACATTAATAGTGTTCAGTGACATTCACATTGTAAGGAAAAGTAAATTGAAATCCTCTCATGGGGAACAATCGAAACGTACTTTTAATAAAATTCCATTTCTTATTAAAAAGATTATACTTTACTTCAATATGCTCTCAAATAGAACATCAAAGAACAGAAAAACTACAAGATAACTGAGGGACGAAACTAAAAAAAAATAATATATACATCCCCATAACTCATTCATTATTCATTTGTTAAGTTTGAAGAAATCAAATCGAACAAATACTTTATTCATACTTCTCTCGTATCAATACATGCATTGATGAATACCATGTCATTCGGGACACTCATTTAATATCCTCTATTCCCCGGATATTATGGAGAGCAGCCAGAAACATGTCTAGAATTTCTTATAAAACTTTATAAAAACTCATCAAGATCCTACAAACAAAAACCACATCAAAGTATCACATGGATTTTAAATCGGTGTCACGTGGTAATATTTTACATATATTTTATGAAAAATAGTAATTTATTTCTCATTTAATCCGTCTTTAAAAGTACATAATCTATATATATATATATTGAAATCAAGTTGTTTTTTAATAATAAAATGCATTTCATTGGAATGGATGGATGGGTTTCGTTCATCATATCTTTTACCTTTTTATGTCTATGTTTATTTTCTTAGCTAATCTAATTTTTGTCCGTGAGATAGGTATACTAGAACTGAAGAATGGAATAAACTGCATTATGCAAAGGTTTCGTCCTTCTAGGAATCATCGATGATCTTAAGTGTTGAAACGTTGGAGACGATTAAGGAAAATCAAAATGGGCGCAAAGGAAAATCTAGAACGATAGATACGATAGAAAACAATTCATGGACTGTTAAAACTGATTGTTTGAAATAATATCTTACA